AGCGGGACTCAGGTCCCAGCTCACAGCGCCTGCCACGGCCAAGCCCAGTTTCTGGCCATCCCCGCCCCTCCACCGCCCCTCCGTGCTCACTCACGTCAGTAGGTGAACTTCCACTGCTTCGTTTTAAAAGTCACGCACCAAAAACTGTAACAAGCACACCCGAATACAAATTCACACCCGGCCTGGCTACCACGAGGACAAAGCGCTCTGACCCTCACATACTCCGCACGGTCGAAGCTCCGGCGTGTTTCCCAGCGCGGAGAGGGCACTGCGTGTGCTGCCCCTTCCCTGCCCACCCAGCAGCCGCACCCTCACACCCAGGCCCACCTTGCTCCCGGCCAGGACAGCCCTGTGGGATGCCCGAGGCCTCCAGACGCAGTAAGTAACTACCGTGTGTCCCGGTGGGAGGGCGTTTGGGGCGAGCACAGGTGAAGACCGCAGGGGCAGGCAGGCGTGCAGGTGCGGAGCGAATGAGCACGGGCACTCTCGCTGGGAGAGCCGAGAGAGGCGCACCTGTGCTCACCCAGAGCCAGCGTCTGCCCAGCCTGGCACGCGCTCACTAAGCTCAGCGTATCTCTGCCAGGGGTGACTCCCCACGCGTAAGCAGACGCAAAACGCAGCCCCCAGGAGCTGGTTTCTCGCCGCAGGCTGACGAGACGTATTTCCAGAACCCATCTCCAAGCCGAGCACGCGGGGACCTAGCGCCCTCGGCCTCACACGCTCCCAGAGGCGCTGGCTCCAACCACCCGCCACCTGCCACCTACAGCAGGTCTCCAGCAGAACCAGGGTGGGACTGGTTCTGAGTCCCACAAGCTCTCGGGCATGAGGGCCACTCTCTGAGGGTCTGAGAGGGGACATGGAGTCTCTGGCAGGAGGCTGGAGACCGCAGGTAACGGGAGTGTTAGAAGTCTGAGCTTGCGGGCCCAGCCGCGGTGCAGTGACCAGCAGTACGTCACTGAGGTGGTCAGGGCTCAGCGCCAGTGCATGCACACACGCCAGTGCGCACACACGTGCCCTCAGTCCCGGCTGACTGGAAGACTGGGGAGGATGGTGGCGTGGGGCCCTGTTGGAGAGATCCGTCTCTATCTCTCTAAGTGAAAAGAAGACAATAAACAAGCATACTTAAAAGGGATATCAGAGCCCACGTGGAGACGGCCTCCAGGAGCTGCTGCTTACCACCTGTGTCAGGCACAGTGGCGGGGTAAACCACCTACAACGCCCCATCTTCCTGGAGCACCTCGCCCACGCACAGCCCCTCCCTCTGCAGTCAGCACTCCACGAGCCCCAGCCCTGAGGCCATATCCCGCAGACACTGCCTGCCAGGAGGCCGTGGCCGCGAGGCCAAGTTCAGGACTACTGCCCCGCCGGGAGGCCAGGGCCACAACACCAACCCAGGGCCACAGCGCCGATCCAGGAGTGCCACCCCACCAGGAGGCCAGGGCCACAACACTGATCCAGGGCCACAGCGCCGATCCAGGAGTGCCGCCCTGCCAGCAGGCTGCACCCTTGACTGCCCACCATGATTCCATGTCCAATGCCAAATCCAGCCTGACACCCAACCTTTGCCAGTTCACCTGGGAGCTATTTTTTTCACTTTGCTTTCCAGGACTCACGGGGTTCCTCTGGACAGAAATAAAATGCATTGGGAACCAGCAGTTAGCGTAATGGCTATGTCGCTGGACTCCCACACGGTCGACCGCGGTTCGCATCCCAGACCCGGTGGCTTAAAACTCACACCGGGCACGTGTGCATGCATGCCCAAGATCCTGAGAGGAGAATGGAGGAGAAGGGATTGCAGCGTGACCATCCCCCCTGGGGGGGTGATTTCTCACTTTCTGTCTCTATGTCTCTCTCTGTCTGTCTGGAGAGCGCATGCGCCCTATAGCGAAAATCTCTCCAAAAAAATAAAAATAAAATGCATTGCACAGGAGGTATTTCCCAGCCCTGCCGGGCACCTTAATCGCCAACTCCCACCTCAGAGCGCCCTTCCCTCCGGGTCCCTTAGGCCCGAGTGCTCACAGACCTCATTCAGGTCTGCAGAGGCGGCTCGCTGCCCCGCTCGCTGCAGCCCATGCGCGCTCACGCCTGCAAGGCACACGGGAGGCCGCCCCATGCACATGCAGGCCCACATGCCCTCCTGGCCCCTGCCAGATGCTGGGTGCAAAGGGTCCTCAGGGCCGGCTGAGCAGGTGGAAAGACGCAGGGGGCGCCCTCCCCACGCCGCACCCCAAGGCACGCTCTGGATGACAGTCTGCTGCCCACGGTGGTGGTCTGCTGCCAGCCCAGCACTTCATCCACTGCGGCGTCCTGGGCCCCTCCCCAGCCGCTCCCCCACCTCCGTCCACCCTGTCCAAGTGCCGTGCTGTGTGTGGCTGTCAGATCCTGAGCAGCCGGGCAGCCTTCCTCGAGCTGCTGGGAGCTCACTGGGAGCTCGCAGGGCCCCTGGCCGAGGTGTGTAACTGCTGCCTGGGGTGGTGGGACAGGCAGGGAGTTCTGGCAAAAGGGCAGCTCCCTTCCCCTCAAAGATGTAGAAAGCGAGGCCAGCCCCGCAGCACAGTGGGTGAGGGAGCCGGACCCCACGTGCCCAACTGCAGTTGGAACGTGGCCTTAGTGGCTCGAGACGCTCAGCCGGTGCCTGTATGTGCCCAAGCCCAATGCAATGAGCAATGGGGAGATGCTGGTGTGGGCGCCCGCCCTGGGCCGCTTCTCCTCGTCTGCCTCACTCCGGCACACCCCGTCAATAAAGAAGCAGCGTACAGACAGTGTGTCCCTGCTTCCATTCTTCCCGCTGGCAGGGGAGACAGCTCGCCTGAGCCACAGCACAGGACAGGGCTGGGTGTGAGGAAGGGGCGGGCTGTTGGTGACCTCGGGGAAGCGTGGAGCAGGTTTGCAAAGACCCAGAGGGAGAGCGTTTCTGGCCACGGGAAGAAGAGCCAAGGCTGAGGCAGAAAGGGCTTCGTACACTCGGTTGCAGGGGCCGGGGTGGCGTGGAGGGGCATGCAGAGGAGACAGAGGCAACAGTGGCGCATGGGGGTGTGAGTGTGGGCAGGCCGCCCAGGGCACAGCCGGGGACAGGGCCGAGGCCCAGATTCGGACATTGGCAGTGACCCCCACTGAGGTCAGGAGGGCGGAGCACTGGAGACCTGGGCACAGAGCCAAGGTCTAGTGTAGCTCCAGTCGGGGAGGGGCTCCTGAGAGCGTGGCTGTAAGATACCGCGCTGCTACAAGGAGAGGGTCGCCCCGACCACTGCGAAGTGCGGCATCTGCGGGCAGGTGAGTGGCATGGAGCGCACCCAGTACACGGAGCGTACCCAGTCCACGGAGCACACCCAGTACATGGCCTGCCGCGCCCAGTCCACGGAGCGCACCCAGTCCACGGAGCACACCCAATACACAGAGCACACCCAGTACCCGGCCTGCTGCGCCCACAGCCATCCTCGCTCAGGAATGGAGGGCACCACGCGAGCCAGTGGCAGGGCGACCAGAGACCCGCCGCGCCGCAGGACCAGGGAGAATCACACAGCAGGGTGGTCGCCCGAGGGACCGGCTCACTGCGGACAAGGTAGAGAATTGACGCTGAAGCCACTTTCATGATCCGAATCAGATCCAGAACTCACTCCTGTGAGACCAGGCAACCTCAGACCTCCCAGGACGCAGACCCGTCAGGCGCTGCGGAGCATGGCCGTCAGCAAGGGCCCTCTTGTCGGGCTGCAGCCCAAGAACAAACGTCAATGGCGTGCAGTGTGGAATCTGGGCCGCGAGCCGCCGTGCCCACAGGGGCAGACTCAAGGCACTGTCACAGGGCACGGCGTGTTACCTGGCAGGAAATTCTAACCTTGGGGGCACGTCTGGGTGCGTCTCTCCTCCCCCGTGACAGGGTTTAGTGGTCGGCGCATGAAAGTGGCATCTGTCTACGGATTCACAGACCTGCTTTGAAAACACAATGGAATGTGAGTTTGCGACTTCAGCAATGAGGCCTGGGCAGGATGAGAGGTCCTCACCAACAACCTAAGACGACCACTTACACCAAAACTGTCTCCTCCCATTTCACCCACGGAGGGCGCCGGCAACACACTCCTTGGCAATCTGCGACTGCGTCAAACACAAGTCTGTCGAGTCTGTCAGCGACGTCTGAGTCGTCCTGCAGCTCCCGACGGTCTTCATGCCCTCGCTTTTTAAGACAAAGCTGCCTTTGGTCCCAGCTCCTGGGAGGGTCGTGCTGTGCTGGAAATGCTGCGATCAAGCCCAAAACAAGAGCCCGCAGCCACTACTCCTGGTGGGGACACTCCTCCAGCAAACCCGCTCTGCGCCCTCCCAGACGAAGCGGCCAGAGCCTGAACAGCTTCACATCCCAGATACACAGAAGCCAGGTTCGGCTGCCTCAGTGGTTCACCAAGTCAGTGTTCTCTGTGCAAGTCTTCTATCCACTACGGTAACAGTAAGTTCACATTTTACTGGGATATAAATGCGTGCGGCTCTTTGGCTGCCTCCTCGCAGGCCAGCGACCATGTCCCCAGCATTTACCAGTGACAGGGTGGCTCTGGCTGGGCCTGGACAGACGAGAGGGAGCTGGTGGCTCCCGTGTTCTCCCCGCTGGCCTGGCCACTGGGAGCTGCTCCCTGCTCCTCATCCCCCGGAAATACCTGCTCCGAGAAGCTGTCACGGCGGCAAAGCGATGCCCGAAAAGCACAGGGGACGAGGTGGGACCTAGCGGGCATGCAGCACTCAGCCCCGTCCCAGACACGCCAGGGCCCTGCACCATGAAGGGCCGCACTGCTGGCAGGTCGTCTGCGTCTGGCTCCCGGCACAGCCCTGCCTGGCGGAGGCGCTCCGAGGACAGGGGCTGAGTAACGGGGCGAGGGGCCTGAGCCCCAGCAGCAGGCAGGACCATCACGTTCTGTGAACCTGGCTCTGCTGCTGGCCTCGCCGGACTTACGGGGTCCAGGTGACAGGCCCTGTTCCCTACCAGGAGACCGCGTCGTCGCTCCTCCCCGGTAGGGCTCTCAGCTCCTCCCGACGTGGCCCAGGCCCTCCAGGAGGACAGCCGCCCTGGAAGCACCGAGTTTTTTTCGCTCATTACTCCTTGTTCAGAACCAGCGTCTGCCTGACCTCCAGTTAATGGGGCACAAGCAGAG